TCGGTTTCGAAAGAGGTTTCAAATATGTGGTTTCAGGATAGGAAATCTTCCTCAGTCGCTCTTTCATATGAAATTTCATGGTGTCATCAACTTTAGAAAATTTAGTTTGGATTATTTCCCGCTTGTTCATGATAGTTATTAGGGGTGGAAAAATGGGCCGCCCACCTCGCCATGCTCCACCCCGCTTTAAGCCCGCCAAGTAAAAATGAGCATAAAAATCTAGCCCGCCCCGCCAAGGTGGCGGATTGGCGGGCTTGTCCGCTTATTTTTTTTATATTTTATTTTTTTAATAGATTAATGAGCTTATTTTTATATTTCAATTAGATTTTTTACTTATTTTTTAGAATAATTTTTTATAAAGCATCTTTTTAAACAAAATTTACTTAAAAAAACATTGCATATATTCACAAATAAATGTATAAAATAGAATCATCAACAAGTATTCCAAAATATAGTTCAAGTATTAATCTTCAACCAAGAAAAAATGATTTTAGTGACTGATAACTACGTTGGCGGGCTGACAGGCCAACCCACCCCTTTTTTTGGCGGACTTAAGGTGGTGAGGGCTAGGCGAGTAGCCGACACAAAATTCCAATCCAACCCACCATTTTTTGGCGGGTGCACAGGCCGGCTCGGCGAGCCATAATCCGGTTTTCCACCCCTAATAGTTATATACTTGTTTTACCATCCTTCGTCACACCATCGCCATCAATCCAGAGCCTTTTCCAGTTACCGCACACTTCATCTTTACGTATCAGGCATCAAGCTTCATCTTTTTTCAAATGAGACAGACACATGGAATACCATAAGTCTTCCTAAATATAAATTCACACTTCGAACTATTCAAACATGTATGCTCTGCTCGCTTTGTTTCATGAAAAATAAAATTCAATCCCGCCCAAGCTACGTTTCCAACCAACTTCGAATAGAGAGTGTTTTCTTTGAATCTATGTTCTAACACGGTAATGCTTCAACCAAAAGTTGTTTGTATTCAATTATGTTGGTTTTGGAGCATTTGGTTCACGGTTTCCCACTCTCTACAAAAATCACCCTTACTATCACCCAACAATTTCTTAAATATCGAATGTACAGATTCAACTCTGTTAGTTATTATGTTATCGAGGTATATAACCTAATCGATCCTGGTATAAACAATATTCTCCTTCACTTGGTCTAGATTAATACTCTTAATGCATTTTAAGAAATTTGGATATCTGACACACACATGCACAGTCCTAAAACGCAATATAGATGTAGCATACAAGTCTTTTATGGATGGATTTAATATACCATTCCATGCATCCATTCTCTTTTCCAACACTTCACTAGGTTTGAGCATTTTTCTGTCTTCACCCTTGACTACTGTCGATTTGAGCCGATTTTCCATATTTTTTGTTATGTGATATCGACAAAGTAATGTGCAGGATGAAAGAAACACCTTTGCAATCAAATTCATTAGTGTGGTGTCTTGATCATTGATAATTACATTCGACATGTTATCTTGGCCCTTCAATAAAGTCCTGCACATTTCCAATGCCCATATAATGTTGACCTCTTTTTCAAATTCCAAAAATGCAAATCCCACTAGAAAGGTCTTCTTCATAGAAGTAACACCAATAATTTCTTATACGTTGAGTTAATTATGAGGATAATGGGAAATGTGTTACATAACTTGATACTTTAGGGATGAGTCCAAAATATGTCACGAACATTGATTTTATCCTCACAAACTTTGTACCTAGAAACATAGTGATTATCCTCCAAAAGCTTAAAAAATTATTGCATTTCAGTTCTTAGACCTCTTATCGTCATGTTGTTTCGATAATGTGCATTATATACTTGCTTGATATTTAAAACACTTTCTGATTTTTTTTCTGTTTCAAATCAGCAAGTATGTTTTTCGGCACCATCCTAATTAAGACATATCTGAAACAATTTCCTTCTCTTTTGGTTTAAGGTGACATGCAATAGGATAACGAACTAGCTCGATTTACAAGGCATGGTTATGTAAACCAGAAATCACATTAAATTTTCATGTATCATCCACCTTATGGTATTCGCGTAATTTAAACGGACACTCACATTTTCTCTGTGAGTGTTACTTTCTATTAGGTGTATTTTGAATGGTGTCAAAACTAGGATAGTGTAGTGTTAACGTATATTGGAATGTTTCCTCATATTATAGATAAGCATCTTAGTATTAGGAAGCATTAAAATGGTTTAGAATAGGATTTTACATCATACGTGCATTAAAAACAAGGTTTTTGTGAAAAATGCGTTGAAAAACAAGTTTTTGTGAAAACAATACATCTTAGGTCGACCTATAGAAGTTTGAACATCAGTATAGGTCGACACATAGCCATCTTAAGTCGAAACTCATGCATCGATAATAAAGCCTGTAGCCACTGCCTTTAGGTCGTCTCAAGGTCGACACAAGACTTTCAAAGGTCGACCAGAGACCATCACAGGCCGACCTGAGTACCTTGATAGGGCAACCTATTGCTTTAATAGGACGATACACACGACTCCCTTTCTCAAAAAATTTATTTTTCATCCATTTATTTACATTTCTTTTGCTTCATATCTCTTATACACACACACATGCATCATTTTCTAGCAAGGTACTAGTGTAAAACCTAAACAAAACCATAATTACAAAGTAAACTCATCATCTTCAACCTCTCTTTTATGCACATACACAATCAAACTACACATAATCATTTTTTATTGGGTGACCATCTAAATTAGGGTTGATGTCCAATTAGGTTGGTGTAACCGAGAATATTGGGCCGAGTTCTTTGTGTGTTTTAAATAAGAAAACCAATCTGGGGTTTTCCTTCAAGATCATTGGGGATTTGGAGGTGTTGGAAAGATCACGCAAATACGGATATGATCGAGTGAAGGCATTGAGACAATGTAGGTGGTACCTTGCAAAGAAGTAGCGTGAGACGGTGGATCATGTTTGTGAATCTTGGGTTCAACAAGTGCGTGCTTGGTATTAATCTGATCGAGCAAAAACCTTGAGACGGGGGGTCTTGCAAGGTAGTAACAAGAACTGATGGATTGAAGCAGCATTATTGGTGACTTGATAAAACTTTGATCAAGGGTTTTGGAGGTGGTAGAATCAACAATAAACCATATGGTTTATAGGGTTAGGGTTCTCCATCTCTTGTATATACATGTTTGCAAAGTAAGGTTAATTGCAAACGTAATCACTTTGATTGTGACTGACTTTAACTTCAACAAATAACATTAAATTTTCAAACGTTATCGATTGCACACAAGGTGTTCGATAGATTGTCTTAAGTGCTTTTAATTGATTTTTGATCATTGGAAATAAGCTCTACGTGTAACTTAACATTTAATTGGTTTGTGATTAATCGTTGTTGAACAATTTGTGTTTATTATCATTCAATTATGTAACTTTATGCATATTCGAGCTTTTTGATAGTAGGTTCGGTTAGACGATTCAATTCGGGTTTTTTCCGCTATGCCATAAAAATTTTAAAAATAATTTTTTGCCAAAAGTTCAATTTTTAAATTTGTGATCTATTCACTCCCTATAGGTCGAAGCCTATTGTCTAACATTCTCGATCTGATGTCATCACGTTTCAATTTTCGAATCGGTGGAACATACATGTCACTTCTCTCGTATCTCGTGGTTGCAATGCTTACCTTCTATTAGAACCACTAATAGACCTTCGAATTACAATGCCAAACCTCAATTTCCCGGCCTCCATTTGAACCCATTCAAGCATATGCTCACGAGCAGTAAATAGTTGTTCATTTCTAATTTGTTGACCAACATTTAACTCGACATCAATTGGTCTAGCACCCGACTTAACGTCATCCTTCACCTCGTCCAATTTAACATCATTACTTACAATAACTTTAGAAAACATATTCCGGTGCACCATATCTAATACAAACAAAAACAAAAAATAGTTAAAAAAATTCACAGTAATAGGGAACTTCGGAGATGCATCTTCGAAATAGATAACGGGTGAATTTGGATATGCATCTTCAAACTTTACGTTCATTTTTTACCTCAAGAACAAGATTAATGCAAACAATGAGGTATGGAATGAATGAACTTTACCCTAAATTGTAGCTTCTTTAACTCCCTTTGATGTGATAAAATACAAGAATGATGATTTATAGTTGAAAAGTTGTTTGGAAATGATTTTTTAAGGGTTTTGGGTTATGAAGGATGTATGGAGTATGAAAGAGATGATCATGTAAGGTGGTCATACATTCAATTTCCCGCTTGAGATTTTCGGAGATGCATCTCCGAAAATATTACTGAATGGTTAAATTATAAACCATCTTAATGGAAACGTTGTTTAAATGAGTTTAGGACTATTTTCAGAGATGCATCTGCGAATTCGCCGTTGAAATATTCGCAAATGCATCTCTGAACTAAAATTTTACAAAAATAAACTTTATTGTGTTTGAAAATGCATCTCCAAAAAAATTTAAGAATATTTTTAGATTTTTAGAGGTGCGACCCACACCATAAGGGTGGGAAAAGAAATTTCCTTAAACAATTCCCAAAATTTTCGAGCATTTAACCTGTCACTCCCATTTAGAACGCTTTTATCATTATACGCTTTTATAAAACCTAGATTTTTTTTGAAATTTACACGTTTTTATCGCAAATTTGCAATATGTATCAAAAATTTTAGAAATTTTCTATTTTTTTACTGGAAATCTCGAAATATTTGATAAAAAATGAAAAATTTCGAAAGAAATAAGAAGAATATCGAAAATTTTAAATTTTTACTAAAAATTTTAAAATTTTCAAAAAACATGAATTTTTTACACTACCAAAAATTTTAAAATTTCTAATGTATTGAAAATCTCTAAAATTTCTCTTCTTAGGCCCAAGCTTCAGAAAGGCCATTGCAAGCCCATTTCCCACTTGAACAATTCATCTGCAAGAAACAACCGCACCATCCCCGTGAGTAATTTCATCAACAAGCTTGTTCGCGCGAATAGAGATGGAGAACGAGGGAGAAGCGCAAAACAACGAGACAAACAAGAAGAGTTCCGTCGTCATAAGAATCCCTTCCTATCAAGAAGTAGTCGAAAGTTCTCAATCCAGATCAACTCCACCGTCTCTCTTCGTCCCCTCTCAAACCTTTTCCCAAGCCTTTGCGTTCGTCAAATCCTCAGAGTTTTACGCTCCACCTCCTTCACTCCCAAAGTACGCGCACTGCTCTTTATCATATTATTGTTCGTCATTATTATTCTTATCCTTTTCGCATTACTCAAATTTTGATCAGGGAAACTGTTCAGTCAAAAGCTTCATCTTCAACACCGCCAACACCGTCTGCAACTACTACTGCTCCTGCAACTTCATCAAAATTACCAAATTCTCAACCTACTCAGAATCGCAATGCAATACTTGTGAGCAACAGACAGGTGAGATTGATATAATTGTTTAATAATTTGGTTATGGTTCTAAATTCTTAGGCATAACATTAGGGTAAAGTTCAAATTTATTAGGGTTTTTCTGATATACCAAACTTGTCTGAAAGTTTTGTTGTTTAAAATTTTTCAGAAAGGAAATCCGTTGCTCAAATATATTAGGAATGTTCGGTGGACATTTGCTGATGTTGTTTGTGATTTCTTGCTTAGCCAAACCTCATGTGCTCTCTATCTCAGGTTATTTATTTTTTCTTTTTAAATATCTACTTCCTGTTGCTGTAACTTGTTCGTTTTTCTGGTGAAGTTAGAGTTGTATGGAATACTATACCGGATATCATAGAGTTTGTTTATTTTAGTGTTCTCAAATAGCGGTTATAGTTGCACTATAGTGCTGCAGCGTAGGTACTTTAGCAAACCGTTATTTTATTGTTCTGTGATATGCAATTCACAACACTGGTTTGTTACTTTCTGTTCTTTAAGCATGTATCCTTAGTTTAAATGTGGTTGACAAAAAATTTGGGCTGCTTGAATTTTTCATAGCATTTCGTAGACATATAAGTTAAGAAAAAACAGGACATCTATATGTTTTTATCTATGTGCAATACATATCTATAGTAGAATAAATGGGATAAAAGGTTAACAAGGAAGAATACATTTTGGTCTTACTTAAAAGAATGGAATAAAATAGGAAAAAAAACATCCCTTTCTGTTCTCTGTGTGCCAACACAGGCTTCTTATCTAATTGCCAGTAATGGGCGGATATTCTGGTGCATGCCCTGCCTCCATTACTGTGGTGTATATGGCATAAGTAAATGATCTCATATCTCATAATTGCATACTTATATTTATATTAAGGGAATCAACTACCTTATGTACTTACGTGGAACTTTATGGTTTATCGTGAGTATTGTAGAAATTCTTGTTTTCTACATTACCTGCCTGCTGTTTGTGGGTAGTTTGTTAGTTGGATATCTAAGATGTCATTGCTCTACTAGATGGGTTTGCTACATTTTTTTTTGCATCGACCTAACAAAAGTGGATGATTTTGATGCAGTCTTCGTTATCATCTGCTTCATCCAGATTATTTATATTACAGAATACGGGAGTTGCAGAAAAATTTCAAGCTTCGTGTAGTTTTATGCCATGTTGATGTGGTTAGACACCCTGCTATGTACTCAAATTTCTAAAGCATCTATTTTAGTTTATATCTTCCTATGATCTATTTAGGAATTTGTAATTTAATTATAGCAATTATATTATACAAATGACTTAAGTGACATTTTCTTTGTTTTCTTACTATTGATTATAGGAGGATGTAGTGAAGCCTCTACTTGAAGTTACAAAAACAGCTATGCTTCATGATTGCACCCTCTTATGTGGGTGGAGGTATGATTGACTCATTGACACTCCCTTTAACTGTTTGTTTGTATTTTTTTCTTAACTTGTAGGAGCATGAGAGTGCTGCTATTACCTTCTATTACTCTAATGAACTTCTTACTTAATTTCTATTTGAAAGTACTATATGACCACAAATCAAATCTTTTGTTTAAGATGATATTTTTTTTTGGTTACGACATACTGAAAAATGTTAATATGCATATGAATGTTTTAGCTTTTAACTTACTATGTACATTTTGAAAGTTCGAAGGAGAAGAAAAGCTTATTGTGGTTTCTTCCCGTACTTCTGTTTTTTTAGCATATAACTCAAACCATTTTAAGTAGCTTGGAGTTACTGCTGCATAGTTGTGAATTTGTGTCTTCAGTAGCATCAGACAAGATTCCTTTTACCTGTCTAATTGTTTTTGCATCATTCCATTCTATTGTTGTTACAGCCTAGAGGAATGTGGCCGTTACTTAGAGACCATAAAAGTCTACGAAAACAAACCTGCAGATATTATTCAAGGCCAATTGGATTCAGACTATCTCTCACGGGTATACTTGTGTTTTATTTATCCCACACTTTAATTTACTATGAATTTTGGTACTCTTAGAAACAATACTAAAGTCACAATTGTTAAATTGATTAATTTGTAAGCAAGGTTGTCCAACTCGAGTTTTTATGTCAACTCATTTTACAATCTAGCCTCTAGGTGGAATCGACTTGAATGAATTTACTTCATACCAAAATTATTATATACATGACTGGTATATTTATATAAATACAAATGCATCAATATTTCAACTTAATTATAAAGGAAAAATATATCAAATCACTATAATAAAGCGTCATGTTCATAAACTTTCAAACTACATAAATGACCTCATCAAATCATGCCCAAAAAAACAAGAGTTACATTAGTTTCTATAGTTGTTAAAAGTTAAGACTATCCAATAAAACAAGAATTAATTTCTTCCAAATTAGTAAAATCAGGTAAAACTTAAAATAGGTTAAAATTGTTTTTGATTCTATCAATTTCAGAGAGTTTATTATGTATTAACTAGAGTCAAATCTGGTTCAACCCTGGTTTTACCCAAATTTGATTATTACAAGCAATTTAAGTCGAAATCTATACCTAAAAATGTAAAATCGGACGATGATTTTATGAGTTAAAACTTGATTTTGACAACCTTGTTTGTAAGCATAATCATCTAAGGCACTGATGCTATTTTACTCTCAACTGTAGCTAACACATTCCCTAACAACAGTTCGGCATGTCAACAAGACTGATGTAGTTACTCTTGGTACCAACTTCGGGGTATGCATTTTGTTTTTTTTAGCTCATGTACATTCATTGATTGATTTGTTTGCACAAAATTTTGATCAAGCTGGAATCTTGTCCCTTCAGTCTCTATCTAACATAATGGGTGCATCTATGGAAGATCTAGCTCGTTGCCCTGGCATAGGAGAGCGCAAGGTATATTATAAGTGGCGAAAGTGAAATAGGACAATGATTCATAGTTACATTTGAGGCTGTTTGGTGCAACATCCCATTGATATAGACCAAAAAAACAACTGAATATTTTGCATGCTTCCTGATAACAGGTCAAGCGCTTGTTTGACACTTTCCATGAACCGTTCAAGCGTGTGGAGTCCAGCCGGCAAGCCATTCCAGAGACTTCTGTCCTGAGTAAGCCAGCTAGTTCAGATGCATCTTTTAGGAGCAATGCTGAATCTTCCTCTTCACTTGAAGACAAACAGAAGGATGTAGACAATGCAAGCAAACGTAGCAAGAAAGAACCTGAACTTACTGTCAAATCTGCCCTTTCCGAAGCCTTTGCCAAATTATCTGAGAGAGCTGGAAAGAGGAACATTACTTCAAAATCTAAGGAGAAAGAGGATCCAATTGTTGTCAGAGAATCAGATGCTGAAACGTAAATTGCCGATGATCTTATCAATGGTTGTCAAATAGTTATTCCTGGAGCAAGATAATCTCGTGAGATTTAGAGGGTTAATCTCCATGAGTTTAAGCCAATGGTATTCTCTGAGAAGTTTGATAAGGGAAACAACTGTACTAACTAACTGAAGGGGTAATTAGTTGGTTGTAATATGAAAACTGGACCTTTAATTGACTAGGACAAGCTTTAACTTAACGGGAACGAAGAGAAGGTGATTTACAGGGTATAACACTAAGAATATGGAAGATTGGATTTAATTTATGGTTATTGAGACAGAGAGCCTATCAAAATTCTTGGGTTGAGAGACATTCTCATCTTCTGTGTATACTGTTTACCTCGTCTCTTTGATTCTAAAATCACATTGATTCAGAGTCGAGGGAAAGAGCTTCATCAATAATAGTTTCCATTGTTGTATATCATAAAACATTCAGTTGTTTGATTGTTTCTATCAGTTTCAGACAATTTTCTGAACCAGTATCAAACTCCTCTTGCCCAGCACCTATATATATCTAGGACATGTGCTTAAATAGACAGTCAGACACAGATTTCAGCAAGGGTTCTGGAATTTATAGTCTTACTACAGGTTACTACATACTAGTAATAACCACATAATATTTGACAAAGCAAACAAGTTATTTAAAAATCATATCTCCTTATGATCTATCTCCTAGGAATCTACTGCTCATGTTGTGTATATTACATCTATACATGTTATCAAGATGCTATTGGAAAAGTAGTTTCTCCTTTGCATCAAGAAATATCATAATGATTGATGTATAGGGCATTTCATATGTCAGAGTTTTATTTTGTGTGGTAAGATTCATATCATTTTCTTGCATATCTTTATGATGGAAGTATCCTCTGATATGACCCGCAGTGATCTCTGTTGTGCTTACATGCTTTTTTGGAAATCCCCCCGCCTTCAGAGGTAATATAACAAGTCCAAACAGGTCAGCGTTATTACTCCATTAAATTCCTTACATCTATCTGTATATATGTTAGTATTTATCGTCATAGAAAAATTAAGTAGCTTTCAATATAATTTTCATATATCACCATATGCTAGTGCCTAAAATTTAGCATGCCTTCAGCCAGATAGAAAGAAACTGCGCTCAATTGATCACCTTCCTAACCTTTAAGTTGAAGCTTTATGATGTAGGTTTTTTTTTATGGACCAAAAGTTATCTAATTTGATTTGAAATATGTCATTGAGTTTGGTTTCAGGCAGTGATTTGTGTGATTAAAAAATTTCTTGGAAATGGAACTCTTAAATGATTGGATATTAATTTCATCAGAACGCAGAAGAAATTTTCTCCTAAATTTTAGAAAGTTCACATTCCTCTTAATTTTGTACCATATTTTAGCTAGTTTATCATAGCATAACCAATTTAAGAAAGATGTTAATATTCTATATGGAAATCTATACCCTTATATAAAGGGAATTCCAAACTAAGTTAACTGCTAATAACTACAAAATTTTGTCGAATGTTTTCTTGGACAAGTTTACCTTCAATGACATTTTTTCTTTTTCAAATTATATTTTAAATATATAAATCATGAATATTGGAACTAGAACTTAGATATCATAAAATTGAAAGAAGTGAGTAAAATTTGAAACACATTATACAATAAAATATCTATACAACCATACACAATAGAAAAACGGATAGACGAGTGGGTCTTTCCGTTAGAAAATAAGATAAACATATCAAACAAAGTGCATTTATAACTAATGCAAATGGCTCTAGCCTTATTGACCCTTTAGGCTTATTTGGATTGTCTATTTTGCTCTTTTGTTCTCCTTTACTCTCTTCTCCTTTCAGTAGAGGTGAAGGAACCATGCAGATCTAATTTGCCAACATGAGGATGTCTTATCAAGTATGAAATTGCAATTTTTTTCACCATGTATCTGTCCAAGCACCATTTTAATCCAAAAAGGCAGAGCAGTTATTTATAGGCTGCTTATGCTCTTCTCACACATAGTAACTTTGAAGATAATGTACACTTAATAAATTGGTATTTGTTTCTGAAATCTTAGTGAACTGGAAAGAGACTGTGTCCTCACAAGTGGTATCAATGATTGTACCACATCTGTCATTAGTGGCCTGTAATCAGCTTCTGGTTGTATGCACATTGCTGCGATGGCAGCTACCTGTGAAACCCAGTTGTAGATATAACAATATTATCAGTCCAAATCATTAAGTCAGAATGATGAGAATCCAGTTGACTAAGAGAAATTAAGTTTAACCTGGACTAAAGCCTTCTTTGAGTACTGCCCGTGTAGAACTGGGTCAACCATTTCCACAACTTTTTCTCTGTTTGTCAACCGTGGAAGAGCCTGATAAATAACAAAATTTGTATGTCACAAAATGAAATATGACATTATTACAAGCTCAATTAGATACTTAAGGAACACTATTTTTTCCCCTTTGATTATAAACAAACTGGTCATGAATAATTGCAGAGTACAGTTTTCTAACCCAAGAGACAAGAACATGTTCTCCAGTGGGCCGCTTAATATCAACCGGTACACGTCCTGTCAGCAATTCGAGAAGAACTACCCCGTAGCTGTAAACATCCGACTTTGTAGTAAGCTTACCAGTGGAGGCGTACCTACATTATAATATCCAAATTACAAAGATGAATTAAATTTATGCAGTAAAATTGTGAAGTTAATGTTTTTTTGTTAAAAATTGTTACTAGGGTTTATAAAAAAAAACCCTGATAGAAATTCAGATTATCTGCAGCTGGCATTCCTTAACATTCACATAGTCAATATATCAATGATTATTTGAAATCCAAATCGTCTTATCCCAATTCAACGATCATCGACTGTGTGAATGTTGGAGAATTACCGGTGGCAGGCAATTTGAATTGTCTAGGTAAAAAATAACAGCCTGCTTGATAGGGACTGGGGTGTGACCATGTGCACGAGTTCTTTGTTTTACATTGCACGTTATGAACTGGGAGTGGGTAAAGATAGATGTAATAGGGTACTCACTCTGGTGCCAAATATCCTGTGGTCCCCAACACACGGGTAGAAACCTGGCCATTTCTCTTCTCTGATCCCATCTTAGCCAATCCAAAATCTGACACCTTTGCACGAAAGTTTTGATCCAGTAAAACATTATAAGTCTTGAAGTCTCTGTGGATCACGGGTGATACAGCATATTCATGCAAGAACTCCAAGGCCCTAGCACAATCAAGGGCTATCCTCATCCGGGCCCACCAATCCAATGGTTGAGTTTTATCATTGGTTGAGTGAAGATGGTTTTGGAGTGTACCATTTGGCATGTATTCAAAAATCAATAACCTGTGGTGTTGATCAGCACAATAGCCAAGTAACTCCACCAAATAAGGAGAACGCAATTGGCTTAGGAGATCGACCTGCCATAAACGTCATTTTAATCTTCACACCCATGTGCTATATTTTAATTTTATTAGTAAAAGGATTTTCATTCCAACTCTAATGGTCCCAATCATGATTACTAAACGCCAGAGAATTCTGTTATTATTTTAAATTTCTTGAAATAAATTATCATAATTTTGATTTAATGTTAGTGTCTAATTCTTATGATAACATTAGAATAATATATCTACATCCCCAACAAATACATAGCTCGAGTCAAACGTGATATCAGAACCCAAGATAGGTTGCATAAGTCAATCCTCACATTAAAGTAAACTGTTGGCTAGCCCTTGTCATTTGTTTTCTACTTTCTTTAGCAACAAATAGAAGTTTCATATTGATAAAAGACAAAAAAGACAAAAACATGTTCTCTGTACAAACTCAGAGTTAACAGAAAAACAAGACATTAAGAGAGAGCAGGTAACAAACAAGAAATATTAAATTATTGCGTACAGAAAACACAATATATCTCACTGACCTCTATTTTGAAGCCACGCTCTGCTTGCTTACCCTCAATGTGCAGCAACTTAATTGCTGCCAAAGTTCCATCAGTTAAGACTCCTTTATACATCAAACCATTAACTCCTCCATTACCAATCACATTTGCTTCATTGAATCCACCCGTAGCAGCTTCTAGCTCCCTATACGTGAAAACTTGCACTCCTTTAAATTTAGGTGTGGTTGGCGTCCTGCTCAAATTTCCCCCATAAAGACACCCACCTTTAACATCTGAAATCAGTGTCCCAGCCATTATTTATTAGTTTCAGAATCCTCAACCCTTCTAAATGTAGTAGGAAATAATTTACTTTCAACTACAAAAACTTGTTGAAATAAAAAATTGGTTACTGAATTTAATGACTAATGGTATTCTATACTGTAATGTAAAAGAAAAATTCTTGTGACTATCTCCCTACTCACATGTAACTAGAAACTCATAAACTTGTATATATATGATATGATATCTGTTAGGCCAATTAAGAAAATGGTTGCAATTAATTGATAATAATATGTATGATTAATTACCTGGGCTAGAATCAAAGGACAAGATTGTTGAAGCTATGTGTCTGCTGCTTGTGTCATGAAGCACTCTACTCTCACAATCCTCTTTGTAAATCTCATTTTTGCTTGAAGATTTTTGGCGACGGATCAAGCACACAACCATAAAAATGGTAAATAAGAGCATAATTAAGGCCACCATTGTGACGATTATGAGAATGGTTTTGAAGGGAAAATGGCCAGCATGGCTATGGTAATTTTTTCCTGAATGTAAGTGATGGTAATGGCGTATGAAAGTATGGTTCTTTGTAGAAACTATAGGTGGCCCTGAAGGTACAATGGTAGTTGTATTAACTTCCATTGGTGACCACAGAGAAATCAAGTGGCTTTCTGTGTGAAGTGAAAAAGAAGGTTGAGAAATGGGAAGGCACAGAAGAGAGGGTAAGGGAGAGAGGTTTTGTTTATAGTAGTAGTAAACAAAACAATGTGGAGTGCAAAGAGGTTTTGAGACTAAGATGACAGGGCTTTTGTTTCTATCTTTCTCGTGAATATTTTAATCCAGTTGTTTTGGTGTGTGTGTACTTCATTCGTCTCTTTCCTTTGTTATTTTCTAGACTTGTCCTTTTCTCAGTATTAGAAAATCCAGGAAGCATTTTCACGGGTTTTCAATCACGCCCTTCCTTCAATAATTCTTTGATTTCATGTAATGTTTCAGTATAATTTTGATGTGCCAAAATTCTTTTTTTGGATTGCTTTTGGTACACACAAGTCATATATTTGTTTTAAAGAATCAAGGCTAAGAGTATAGCTTATAAAACCTACTTTAACTAACTGGTCCATCTTTTAACTAAGGACAAAATAGTAGTTTATATAAAAATCAAAGCGGATAATATAATATCTCATGAAAATAATGAGATCGAAATATTACCGCAAGCTAGAAAAATGGTTTATGCTACTCATGTCAAATGACATGCTTTTAGTCCATTAGTCTCTATTGATGACTACACGGGATCTTAAGTAGGATCAGTTGATTTGTGAAAGATCATAAAATTAGGATAGTTAGCACAGTACATGAGATTCTATATATTTATTCACACATACACAAAAGTATGAAAGTTATAATTTAAACAAAAAATGGAAGTCCATCATGTTTTTCTGCAATATGCAAAATTGATCACACTGGCGATGAAAATGATCTTGCATAAAAAAAAACTTATCTTGATGACACCAGTCACAAAAACAATTTTTCATTCATCATAAGACTTAACTATCTTGCATAAAAAAAAACTCATCTTGATGATACCAGTCACAAAAACGTTTTTCATTCGTCATAAGACTTAACTATCTTTGGCACATAAGATCTTATATTCTGATACTCAATTTTAACTAAATTACTTGTAACACTTTATAAGTCTTATAGGAATTAAGGTTAACCCAAAGATATGAACAGGATATTAAAAGGATATCAACAGGATGTTAAAACAAAGATTCGGTGTCATGGGTGTTACTAGTATAGAAGCTTCATAAGCTTACTTTGCTGAAAGTAGAATGGATTTGTACCATGTCTTTTCTCATTCTTGTTTGGAAAAAGAAAACAAAATAGTAGAGTAATAATTATGCTTGGAGGGGTCAACTCTGTTGGACCAATTTAACTAGTGAGAGTGAAGTAAGGGGATGAGATGAATTTACTAGGAAACCGTGCGCTGCATCTAGCAATTCAGCATTTAAACCAGACACTTCCAATAATAACTCCCTCAAGTTCACATGCATAACTCAAAATGGCAGAAGTCAATTCTTAAACGTGTGTATGCTTTTTAAAATCATTTTCCATTACAAACATATCATTTGTTTTGGTTTGTTTTAATTATTCCCATCTGGTTCTGAATGTTAGATGAAGATCGGACAAAATTCAACATTTGTTTTTGGATGCTGAATTAATTAGAAACCCTTAGGAAACTTAAACAAAGTTGGATTTTTTTAACTAACCTTTGTTCTTGCTCGTTTTTATTTCAGTATGATTTGATAGGATTGGTAAAAAATAAATAATGATATTTTTATTTGTGAAATACGATAAGGGGAGAGCCTCCTCACATGTATAACGGTTGCAAGAGACACTATATACTAGAGTTTTTCAGAATTAGGAAATGAATATTCAAATTCTAGGGCTGACATATTAGTTACGAGTTTTTGGATCGGTTCCTAGAGAGAAAATGGTTTTTTTTTTCTATTTTTCCAACGAGTGCGTGAGAGTAGGGGAAACTGATTCTTCCTCTATAATCGGGGGTGATGGTTTACTTCATTATAGTTAAGATTCAAACCGACATCTTTTGAACACCTCATTGGCCACGTGGGATGAAATAGATGGATCAGGTCATAAGTTCCAGTCGGACGATCAATGAGTACATCCGCCCAAAGCTTCCATAAGCACCTTTGAACCACTTTTGACCATGGGCCGCCGCTTACCAGTCCAATAGAATTATCCTCAATCTAATATTCATACGTGATCCCTTCATAACACATTTTGTATGGATATGTTCATCTCACAAGAAATGTATAGTTTTTGCAATTTCACTAAGGCCAACTATTAAGGTCTAGTATAAGCTACAAGTACATTCCCAAAAATATAGGGTATCACTATATCTAAATTGTAGTACCATCTTCTATTAGTGTAATTACTACTAAACATAATGTTTGTCCTTGGTCGTGTTAAGGGGTAGCTACGTGTAAATGAGGGAATTATTTACTACTAGTACCACAATCTATCAGTGCCAACAAGAAGAAAAGTGACACATCCCTGACTTTCACGAAAGATTACCAATCATATGTCTCGAAATCACATGTCTTTCTGTCCTCCCAAAACTCAACTTGTCATGAAACCACAAAAGACAACATATTCTCTTTCAATGTTTTAGAGCATTGCAGATTTCTTTTTACTAACTAGTAGTTTGAATTATGACTTGTTTCTACAAATTTGGGCCTCATGATTATTTCAAACAAGAAAATATGAGGAGAAAATCGGTTTCCCATTAAAATTCTGATGTAAAAATGAGTGGTCAATTAGGGAGTGTTTTTCACCCGTCACTTTCTAATCCATACCCATATGTATTTTCCTTTTTATTCTTCTCATGTCACGGGATTACCGTTCTCTACGCTCAATTACGAGTAAATTATCTCCACGTGTACTTCTCTCTTAGTCAATGCCGGAAACTAGCTTCATTTTTATGACGGTCAAATACAGCCTACGTTTGTTACCAATTTATTTATAGAGAATTTTTTTTATTTTTAAATTTTAATGATTTAATAATTTACTTTTAGAGATTTTTTTATATAAAAAAGAGTACAAGTTTTTTTTTTTTTTGTTTAAGAGAACTGTTCTTGTTAAAAGTAAAATATGACAATTCTTTGTTGGGGAGGATTATAGAGGTGTTTATGGTTGTAGTGGTGTTAGAGTAAACTCAAGGTTGATTAGAAATTTTTTATAATGTTTTGTGTAAAGAATTAGATCTCTTCTTCAATTTTAGAGTTAAGATATTTATAAGAAATATTTGAGTTTGTATTTCAAGTTTCGAGAGAATAATAACAACTCTCGAGAATGCGGGATGGAGAAGTCAATTACCTATTATTTAAGAGAACATGACATTTTGATTTTGACTCCCTCCTATAACAGTTGTGGATGCAAACTCGTCACTCTCCACATTCTCGCAAACTAGGCAAGTCATCCAGTAAATGGACGACCTAACAAAAATAAATAAATGTCTATCTCAATAAATAGGCAGATAAAATGTCTCTCTAACGATGCACCATCTCATTTGTCTTGACAAGTTCTGGCGTACCCTTCAGAGATATTTACATTTTGAGACTGAGTTAGAAAATTTAATTTATGAGGTCAAATTTTTTAAAAATTTGTAGCATTAAAAATGTAACTCTCTTTATCTCTATTTTTTTTATTATTATATTTTTTTACAAATTTTTATAGATAAATTTATTATAATTTTTTCAAATATATCTTTTATTAAAACTATGAATTTATTTGAAAAAAAATGAAAAATAAAATAAAAATATTTATAAATAAATAATAATTTACTAATAGTTATTCAAATCCCATACATACTAATTATACTAAAATATTTTTTTAATATGCATGATATGTGTTTGAGAGTTTTATAATAAGAAATAAATAAGAACATTATTGACATATTATTTTTTAATTTTAGTTGATAGTTAATTAAAAATTAAATATTTTTGGTGAGATTTTTAGAAAAAATTTCAAATTGAGAAGAACTTTTAGTTAATGATTTCAGGAAATAATTTATATAAAAAGTTGATTCTAATATTTAAAATTATAATGATTTAAAATAATATAATAGTCAATATAGGTGGTCAATTATTTAAATGGTGTTCTGCACGAGAACACAATGATCTAAAAAGAAAATTTGAGTCTTGCTTTACGGCGCAACCTTGATTCCGATGCGGTGGATGAGTTAAGCTATAGGGTTAGCACTCCAACGTCTAAGTTAGTGTATGAGTAAAATGAGAAATTTAAAATAGAGTGTTTCTCTTCTTTATATAAAGGAGTTTTTTTATAACTGAAATGTAAAAGGACCTCGAAAAATGTGTATGGTCGTAGGATGAGTTTGATGGCTCTGATCGCTTCGTCATTCCTTGGGAGCCGTGAATAGTCGTTTAGTCTTTATTTGTTGCATTTAGTTTCTCTTGGACCTTGGGTCCCACCTTCTTATGGGCCTTTGCGGCCGACCCATAACAGTTGCGCCCAAGCCCTTGTCTTTGTTGTAAAAAAGGGGGAAGGGTTTTGTGATTACTGGTGTTTGCATGTCGAAGAGAGAAAATAATCGACACATGCCTCCTGCCCTGAGCGTTCGCATGATTACTCTATGAGTTATAATGTCACCTCAAAGGTCGCAAAGAGATTTCAACCATTGATACTCGTTCCTTGGTGCTCATTCACCCAATTAATAATGTGTTGTGCTTAGTCTTTGATCCAGCGATCATGACTATTTCTTATGTGTCAACTAAGAGAGTTGTTAGAGACATTTATGGAGTTTGGGTTAGTTCAGACATCAAATATTGTTTCATACTTCTATCAAAATGTTTTTTCTCAAACAATGATAAACGTTAGTCCATCTGAGGATTGATGTGTCCTTCTTCTAACCGAAAATTAAAGGGGATGTGGCCCATACAACGAGTGTGCTATCCCATTTCATAAATATCTATTTTCTTTGATCTGTTATCGTCTTCCTTTCAATGAGTTTGAAATCAGTGTCTTAAATCATTTGTTGGCGGCTCTTTCATAATTCCATCCCGTGAGTTGGACCACTGCCAAGATTTTCCAACATTGGTACG